AGATGAAAGGGACCAACGAGCAACATCTATTTATTTGGCCGAAGCATGATGGCGATCTCTTCACGGAGGATCTGCAGTCTTTGAAAACTTTCACAGCAGTATTAGAGAAGTATATGCGTAACGGCTGACTAGTTTTGTTTGCTTTGAAGAGGGAAAAAAAGTGATGAAGTCGGTAGAGCACCAACTGCGATGATACCGCCTCCGGATACTCCAATTCACCTCCCTCTTCCGTCTCCTTTGTCTGTCTACCCACCCCTGAGGCTGTTTGCGAGGGAGTCCTATCTCAGGTTCATTTCAACTTTGTAATCAACTTCAACCACAGGCTTTTCATCGTAGTCTTGCGGTCGACGAGACTTCGAAGAACCAGTCTGACGATACATTTCTAAAGCTTCCGTCGACGACGATGGAACCATGAACTCGACTTTAACCAGAACGTCAACTGGATCGAAATTGTAATGAAACTGAAGCTTGGTTGAACTTGGACGTCCTTTGACCTTCGTGGACGACTCTTCCAGTGACTTCTCGGTTACGAACTTAGAACTTAAACTGAAAATTACCTATGCAATGAGTTGTCTGGGTCAAATGTATCCTATTTGTGTATATACTCATATGTACAGGGTGTTCCATAAGTCTCTTGATTCCCCCCCCCCCCCAATTTTTTCTTGTTCCAGGTGAATTAGGGTTTGAATTTGTTTAGATATGAATGACCAAAGCTCTTTTACGCTAGAAGAGCGTTTAGCGATGGGTGTTTGGGAGCATGAGCGCCAACAAAGTGAGAAAAAAACATGAACAATTTGTTTGACGCTATTTTCCGAAAATGTCTCGTCGCACCTGGCACCGCATCATTCTGTATTCAGAAAAAGATGGCGTTCATACTGATCCCCATGATCTCTAAATGATCCCCAGTTTCTCGAGTGAGGGTTATTAAATGTCAAAATGAATGTAGTTTCAAATGGCATGTTTTATTTTGCTGCCACTTTTCAACAAAAGGTCAAGGGACCCATGAAACACACTGTAGATCTGTGTAGATGTGTGCCACGTTAGATCTGTGCATTGCCAATAGGCTAGCTGGCGAGGCTCTCAATAGGACATGCCAAATTCTATTGAGAGCATCGCAGTCAGTGACATAAAAACGTACGTCAAGTATCAAGTGTAACGGGCACGGGGCGCAGTGGGTTGGATTTTTGAAAATATCAAACAGTAATTAAGTTAAAATAAAACCTTTACCTTAATGCGCCCCGATTCCATTACAATGAATTCCCTTCCAGGAAATCAGGTCCGTGCCAATTCAAATTCGAGCGGGAGTAACTAAGGCGTAACTCAAGAAAACAAAAAAATATATATTTCCAAAAAGAAGACTACGTTTTGGACATTTACACATAGATGCAACATTGTTCATCAACATTTCCTAAACGTTGCTGGAATATCTTGGGGGGTCCCGATTTGTCCTCAACACGGAGGCGTCCGCCACAAAACGTTTCCCAACAGTCGTGTACCCTTCTCTGCGACGAACACGTCACACTATAAACGACAACCATTTCGTGATGGATATCAAGTGGTTTTGTACCTTATGCGCGCAAAAATTGTATCACAGTCATATTCCTTGGACCTATAATAGAATTCCTATGATAGAAAGTAGCAATCTTCGCCAGGTGACAGCGCATATAATATTCTGCAAGCAATGATGTCAAATCCATTTTCAACGCTACTCCAGTGTATCTAAGATTTATACTAGATATCATGAAGATGCGACATTCGTACGATTTTTGGCGCAAGTTGTGCCGTTTCCAGTTGGCTGGCCCTAGCACACTAGTACAGGTATTTTTTCACTTACGTTGCAGATCGGCAACATTTTCTTTCACTCCATTTTTCGTGTCACCATGGAATAACTCAACTTATAATGTTTTTCCTTCCCAGTTCGGTGAAATATTTCTCGGTAGATGAAGGATGCTTCCAAGCACAAGCTGATTAAAAGCAGATGAGTATATTGCTTAGGTCTACCAACCCGAATTCACGAAACGAGCTGCTGGCAAGAGAATAAAAGAGCCCGCTAAGGGCATCCTTTTCACCCGATCTAGTACTTGGAGTACCAAATTTACCTTTCTTGAAGTATTCGGTAGCAACAATATATCACAGCGTGAATTCGGTGCTGGAAATCTACATGTTTGAAGCGAGAGCGCAATGTCGATGTTGGTTCATCCCGAAATAAAGGTCTACGATTGAATTAAGGTTATCGAGCCGGAAGGGTAGCGGTGCAATAATGACAAGACTCCATCTCATTAATCGCATCCCAATGAACTTGCAGCCGGGAAATGTAATTTCTCCTCCCTCTATGCACTCAAAGGCGCATAATTGGAAGGTGAAACGCAGGCCACCGCGGAATGAATGGAACTGTATCCCCCGGCTGCTGAACGATGACGTCTCGAGTCCTCCGACCGGGATGTAATCAGAAACCTTCGCATTCCGGTCGACAGAAATTCATGGATCAATTTGAGTGTAAATCTAATTCTACTTTCGAGATTCCGGTCAGGTAGTCGATCAAAGATGGGGTTCGTTACTGGAAGAAGAGGGGCGGAAAGGACAAGACCGGCCCCCTCTCATCTAATGAACGCATTCAGAGTATTCCGAATGACTTCTTTAACGAGGAGCGTGGGCCAGAAGTAGAATCTTCCTCGAGTTCCCACTAGAAATTTCGTCCCAATCCGGTACGTCGATTGAAGCCTCCTTATCTTTAACTGATTCTCCGGAAAACGAACTCAATCCTTCGCTGTCGATAGTAAATGAAGGAAGTGTGCTCGAGTATCTTTCCTCGTTGAGGTTACACGGAGCACGTAGATTTTAGGGCTATATCTAAGAGTGGAGAGCTGAGGTTGAGGTACGAGGGGCGATTATCGTCACTGAGAAAAGGAGATTCTGGATTCCAATGGACTCGTCAATCGTGATGACAATTTTGGAATGGAAACTCATTTCTTCGAGGATCTTTTCGACGCACCGTTGCGTCCTAGAAGATGGCTCTTTTTCTGGACGGGCTCTGATCTCTGGTCTCATCAGCACCCGTATCTGTATCATTCGTAACTGAATGGAACTTTAGACCCTCGTCAGACTCGAGGAAAATAAAAGCCATAGGATTTGTCTCGTATTCATGCGCCCTCGGATCCGAAGAGGATAGACTCGATGCCCTTTAGCCCCTTCGAATGTACACAGCCGCAAACTAGACTTCGACTTTTCGCACTTTCTAGGCTTTCCCTTTCCACTGGTTTTCACGTTCCCTCCAGTCTGTTCAACGTGGAAGGCGAAGAAAGGAAAACTGACTCAATAACCACCTTATGAACAGTGAGGTATCTGCAAAATGAACGCAATGTAGTTTCTTATAATTGATGGATACATCTTCTCTTGGTTCTCTGCTTGACGTGTTTCTTGCAGGTGCAGCGTACAGTATATTCTAACGCTAGAAATTGTGTTCTATGCCTCATCGAATATGCTGCGTCTGCAGATATCTAGAGGAAAAAGTAACAAAATGTTCAAAATGAAAGTGCTCATGACTGTGAACATGATAGCGAGGGTTACAATGAGCGATCTTGTCCGTGAATTAAAGAATAAAAAATTGAGAGCGTTCATATTGACTTCATTGCTTGAAGCTGCAGAAGGAAAGAAAGCATAGTATGTTCACCGGTTGAGTAACATCACCCAGGAGTTGTGGAGTGTGGATAAAAATTTATACACTAATTCCTACAAGTGTCATGAAATCAAATAGAACATCAAGAGCGTAAGATGATTCTTCACAGAAAACTCGGCAAGTGCCACATTGTACTGTAAATAGCAGATAGTGGATTCTATAAATCGTTAAAATAAAACCTCTGAATGCGCTTTTTTTTACCATTCCTTATTTCGTTACAAAAGGATGAAATAGGGAATGGAATTCCTCATTATTTCCTAGATTAACGAGGAAAGTTTCTAAGAAATAGGATAATGCAATACAGAGAAAAGTTGCGGAACGCCCACGAATAAAGGAAGAGACAGGTCTCCCTCAACTTGTTATTTTCCTCATCTTCCCTCTAGCCATTTCGGCGTTCTCCAGCGTTTCCATCATGCTGCGATTGCGCCTCCCAACTCAATTTCTCCCTCTTCATCGAGAGATCAATCGAAGGGGATCGGGTTGGATGCATGCACCGGCCTGATGGCACCATCAGGCACCGGCCCGATGGTCGAACCCCTGCGTCCAACATGTCACGTTTGCATGAAAGTGACCACAGGGTGTTGCCCAGTGGTCGCTTTCATGTCGTGACATGTACCCCGATGCATGAAAACGTGCCACAATCGTTCCAACTAATCGGTTTCGATCAATTGAGTCAATTTGAAGAAATTAACATTACATAAAGGCTCAATAGCTACGCAGCTTAGGGGATGAAAAAGAGGGAACAGGAGTTATCAGTGAAACCATCTCTGAATCATTCCAGCTCAAGTGGTCAAGTAGTGGCTGTGCTTCAGTTTCCGATGTACTTGAAAATTTTCATACATAAAATCCTCCGAGAATTATGGAAAATCTCTGAATTCGGTCGCTTGTAACGGTTCTCGAGAAATGCTGTCCCAAATTTCACACCAGAGAGGAAAAGTGACCTTTGGGATCAAACTGTTATCTTTGGTTATTTTCAAGCTAGAAGGGGCGTTCTTGAACTCCAATTAAAGCTGAGATAATATAAAATGCAAATCTCAGCTGTACTTTATAATAAATTGGCTATAAATTGAGTTGTGAATTTTCAAAAACTTGAAAAATGCCAAATATTTGACAGTAGGAAGGAAGGCAACATGGAGAGCTTTCGGGACATTGGAAGACTAGTCAAAAGCTAGGCGAAACAAGATATTCAAGCTACCACAGTGTTTGAAACAGCAACAAATCGAACTTGAAAAGTCCAAAATTGTCCATTTTCCATCAAATTTGACTGCTTCTCTTACCCGTTTTAAACTAAGATTTCTAAGATTTGAGAGTTCCAATCATGTGAATGAATAGGTTGGAACACATTTTTTTCTAAACTTAGCGAATCTTACCCAGCCTATACTACGGGTGGTTGAGCGGTTATTGTGTTGTTGCAGGGACTGTGTATGATTCGAGTTCAGTCTGGGTTTGAGTCTTGAGGCCTCTGCTGCTTCTTCGGCCTCTCCTTCATCTCCTGCCTCTCCTGCATCTTATATCTTGTATATATACGAGGGCTGTTCAAAAAGTATCCGACCTTTGGCCGGGAAAAATACAATTACTCACCTGTAGGCCTGAAACCCTAATCCCCTTCAAAGTAGTCTCCTTGGGACTGCACACACTTCTCCCTGCGGTCCCGCCATTGTTGGAAGCATTTCTGGAACGCCTCTTTGGGAATGGAGTACAGCTGGGCCGTCGCGTTCGGCATAAGGTCTTCTCGTGACTCAAATGGGGTCCCTTTCAGCGGCATTTTCAGCTTGGGGAACAGCCAAAAATCGCAAGGAGCCATGTCGGGAGAGTAGGGAGCCTGACGAACCACAGGAGTGCTGTGTTTGGCCAAGAAAGTCTGAATTAGATGTGAGGAATGAGCTGGTGCGTTGTCATGATGCAGCTGCCAAGTTCCCGCTGCCCACAGGTCCGGTCTCTTGCGCCGCACGGCATCACGAAGGCGACGGAGGACCTCCAGGTTTGGTAATGTTTTGGCCTTGTGGTGCGTACTCGTGATGCACCACCCCACGGGAGTCAAAGAAAACGGTCAACATCACTTTGACGTTGCTGCGCACCTGCCGTGCTTTCTTTGGTCTCGGGGATGTTGAATGTCTCCACTGTGACGACTGCGCCTTGGTTTCCGGGTCGTACCCGTAAACCCACGATTCATCACCAGTGATAACGGTGTTCAGGAAGTCGGGGTCGCCGTTTGCGGAGTCCAGCATGTCCTGCGAGACTTCCAGACGGAGTTGCTTAGCGCCTTGGTTTCCGGGTCGTACCCGTAAACCCACGATTCATCACCAGTGATAACGGTGTTCAGGAAGTCGGGGTCGCCTTTTGCGGAGTCCAGCATGTCCTGCGAGACTTCCAGTTGCTTCTGCTCCGTCGTTAGCAGCTTCGGCACGAATTTCGCGGACACTCTCCGCAAGGCCAAATCCTCGCTCAAAATGGAATGTACATTGCGGAGTCCAGCATGTCCTGCGAGACTTCCAGACGGAGTTGCTTCTGCTCCGTCGTTAGCAGCTTCGGCACGAATTTCGCGGACACTCTCCGCAAGGCCAAATCCTCGCTCAAAATGGAATGTACCGAACCAGTGCTTATCCCCACCTCGTCCGCAAGTTCTCGGACGGTGACACGACGGTCCTGCATGACCAAAGTCCGCACTTGGTCACTGACCTCGTCATTTCGGCTTGTTGAGGGCCTACCGGCACGTGAGTCACTCTCCACCGACGTGCGGCCATCTTTGAACCGGTTGTACCACTCCTTAATTTGTGTGATGCCCATGGCATCGTCGCCGAAAGCCTGCTGAATCTTCCGAATGGTTTCCACTTGGGTATCGCCAAGCTTCTGGCAAAATTTGATGCAATACCGCTGCTCTAGCCGTTCCGTCATTTCGCGGAAAATGAAAATTAGACGGGCGCTGAGTACACTCCCTCACTCACAGGCTCACTGCCAGCGACTGACGCTCTCTGCGGGCGTGAAAAAATTCATACATGCGCATGAATGTACCCTCCACCACCCCACCGGAGGACACCTCCCGTGCTTCATTTGTTTTCGCGGAAAAAATTCAGGTCGGATACTTTTTGAACAGACCTCGTATGTATGAAACACCCTGTAATTCCAAAACTAATTATGTTGAAGAAATTTTCATTTCTTAATTAAGGATCATACTGTAGAATGCCTTTTGCAATTGGTGAATGCATCGTTGGAAATCGCGCGAGATCGTATTGCTATACTAGCGAGTTTGTTTGCCTTTCAGGTAACTAAAATCGTCATGGACACGCATTCGGCGATGTATGATAAAAATAATTTACTAATGCATTTATGGCATTCGTTTTCAAAGCGCACTCCCAATGAAGGGATGAAACCCCTTGCTTAATGGGTCTGGCAAATATCGCGCCTTCGGCGCTCACACCCTAAAAATAACGATCCCCCAAAAAGTTGTATCACTTCCAGCATGAGGATCACCAAGTAAAAATTCAGTGCGGCGTCTAGCGTTCTTGTATTGAATTCAATTCCAGCCTGTTATTGTTACTCTGCTTTGCATATAAATCTCCAAAACATATAGAACAGACACAAGCTCATTACTTCAGCGTTTTAATGCAGTAATTACTTATAGACTGTGAGGAGTTTTACCGTTGTATTCATATCTATATTTGGGCACAAGGACTATAAGGAAGTCCCTCTCAAACTCTTCCTAAGGCTAGACACATTAGTCACTAAGAAAATGCACAACTCCGTAAACGCAGCCCATAGCTATCCATGTTCCCGCTTCATTGAAGAAAGTTTGTGAATAGAAATAGCATTGACCTAAGCGGCCGTACAGTAAATAGATTGGGTATAGCCACTCTAAATCACAATGTCTAGGAAAATCTTCCTGCCCGTTTCCCTGCTAGAAAAATACTGCATATGTAATGCATTAGCATCTGCAAGCGCACCGGTCTGCAACAAGCAGTGTCCATTCATCTAGCATATGGCCTACAAAGGCGTAGGCCAAAAGTTCTCGTGCCTCGGGCTAAGTCAGCAGGATTATTGTTCACATTGTTGGAAGAGTTTCTTGATGGGATTGGTGTAGGCCTGAGCACCTGTTTTAGAGTTAGATGTAGGCTTGCTCGGTCAGTTGCTTCAGGTCACGCACCTTTTAAGTCGTACTTCATTGGGAGAATACAATCCAACAGCTATTTGTCTTTCCTACCGCTTAATTGATCCTAAAATGCATGATTTTTCAAACTGAACTGAAAAATATATTTGACGATCACATTTTTAATGTGGTTGAGAAAAATTATAAAAAATTATCCTTTTATTAATATTTTGGTTTTCCCATTGTCTTGCAATAGGTTCCAATGCAAAGCAGAGCGTGTCATATCTGCCACACCATGCCGAGTAGGATTAAATAAATGTATGATAGTGGTATTACCCTGTCTATCCGTGGGTTAAGCCTAGGCCCACGAAATCAGTCTCTTCCCCCCCCCCAAAAAAAAAAAGTGCCCCCAGGTCATGTACATTCGAAGTTGGATTTCTCTGGAGTCAACGACATAGCAGCTACTCATTTCCATTTCGATTTCGTTGATCGAAGTTCGTGTAAGAGAATGGCATAGGCCTAAGCGTCCGTCCGTGGCTCACGGCCTAGGCATACAAAATCAGTTCCCCCGAAATGGGCCCCAGGGCATAGGGCATATACTTCTAATGTCTTTCAGGAACACCGTTGGGTGTGATTGCCTCTTGCAGTATATTAACCTGAACCCTTTCTGTGTTTCCTGAACAGGAACAGGGTGCTCAAGAAAATCTCTCTCCCTGATCGAGCCAGACCGTTGTATGAAAACCGTCAGCATGTATTTCCAGCCGTAAGAAAGTGCGAACCTCCCATCAATGCCAGCATCCAGAAGCCAGTGAATGAGTACTCGACGACTCCTGCCATGGAATATCGGAACTCCACTCACTCTGCTGCTGCTGCTGGCCTGTCGCCCATGACCACGATGCTAGCGTGAGTTGTGACAAACACTTGACACATAACAAAAAATGGGCAGAACTATCTTTCTTTTAGCCATTACCTTGAAGCCCCATATTCCGAAAAAATGAGAGTTGTTATTGTTTCGTACTCTCTCTCCCACTGTGTGTGTGTGTGTGTGTGTGTGTATGTGTGCATGTGTGCACGCGTCATAATCTCTTACTATTAATTCCTCGATTTACTTCTAAGACCCTAAATGTCAGAGACGCTCATGCTCTTCAGGAACACCTTTGTAGGTTAATTAATGTGACTGGATTAAATTTTAGTGCGCTAGCATGAACTATTATTCTGTATTTCCTTTGCAGGGAGAATGTGAAGATCTGCCTCACGAATACTGCCCAGACTAGGCAATTAAAAGAAAACGTATATTATGCAAACCCAGCCATAAGCAGGTCGACCCAACATTGCCAGCCCCAGGACGCCACTCAAGAAGAACTTTTCGACTACTCTCATGGAATACACGGCGTCACTCGAGAAGAACTTTACGACTACTGTCATGGAATACAGAAACTCCATTAGCTCTGTTGCTGCTGCTGCCGGCCTGGACCCCACAACTAATATGCCTGTTTCGCTTGTGACAGACACACGAACTGCATGAGCGTCTACCTTTCTTCCTAGCTAGCGAGCCCATTCCCTGGTTAAACGAGACCATTTGTAATCCCATCCTACGATTATCGCATACTTTAGATTTACAGTGACACCAATCAGGGTCGGAAAATATTTGGACAAGAGAGTCTGCCAAGTTCTTCTCAGATTTAGAAAAGAGACTTTCTGATGTTTTTTGGTAATCGCAATTCATTAAGTGTGGATGAAAGAAATCCACTCTACAGTATATGGGAGATACCTAAATAATGTTTGGAAAAATATTATCACTCGAAAATCAAGACAGATTATAAGAACACCACCTCGTCCACGAACTCATCATTCTGGAAATTCTGGGAGCTAAATTGGAAGGTGGCGATGGTACAGTCGATGTTCTGCGTGTTCTCTTGGAAGGTAAGGCCTTCGTGCCGTCCTAAACAGAGCACTTATTCATGCCCTCACGAGAAAAATGAAGGGGGAAAAATTAGTCAAAACGAAAGCTCGATTCAAACTACCCCTCTTTATTTTATTTTTCTTTGTCAATTTTTTTTTTTTTTTGGGGGGGGAGGGAGATAGAGGATCTGATCCTAGTTGGTGTCGATGACTGTTAATATGTAAATAATATATTCAATCATAAATATTTCGACTTGATCAGTGACAAATTTGTATGCAGATGAGTAGGAGTTAGGATGCATTGGGTTTTCACTGAATATGAATTTCCTTTCAACATATACTATACACTAATAAACATTGTTCCAAAGACAGTTTCTCCTGAGTCATTTTCTATAAATTTCCTTGATATCAATTCCATGGAAACAGGAAAATGGTCCACCTTCGCACACATCTAAAGAAACTATCGATATCCTGCAAAACTAAAATTACGTTATGGAGCATGCGAGGTGTCCACCCAACAACACCAATGAAGACGTCTAATTTTATATGATACAGTCGAGTTTCTTTGTCCGAAGGTCTAACAAGCTCGCTATGATCGCGCCATCGGTGCTACTTTATCTAGGATTGTGATTAAATCATTCATTCATTTTCGAAATGGCAAAAACTACCAAGAATTTTATCAAAGTCATTACTCAGATGATTTCTTGTGTGCCTACCGTCAAATATCTGACCCATCCGCCAGACACTGGCGCGACGCTCCTGAGGGGTGTGGTGGGGGCATGACGTATGTATGGTTTTAGAAATCTAGATAAGATGCCTGAGGAGTGCCAGGAACACCTAGGTCCGCCACTGATAGCCTGGAGCCCCTTTCCTACATATTGACAGGCTCATGACAGCACAAAATTAATAATAATTTTCAATAACTGCCGACAGTATTGCTTCGGCCCAAGAAATTAGGATGAAATCTTGTCATAATTTAGAAACATACTCATAATCCTCAGCGAAAGCTTCGCAAAAATAGTTTCAGTGTGAGCGAATATGTTTTGCTTTAAAGTCGTTGATCTTTTTGCCATACCCTGAACAGTACTTGTACCTTTCACCGGCCAGGTGGCGCTCGCGAAAATTTCATGCATTTGCATTCTTCTCCATGTTGTGTTTTTGGCTGACGGCATGGACTTTGACCACGTGTTTTCGCTACATTTTTAGATGTTTTCGTTACATTTTTAGATGTTTTCGTTACATTTTTAGATTCTCATGAAAGACCCACCTGCTAGTTCCCTTAAACACTGGCAGTCGACATGCAAGTAATTTCATGCTGGGTTCATTTCAAACTCCGCGAAATGAATAACTTTAGACCGAAACTTCGGCGTCTGTTCTCCACCGTGCCTTGTTCTATGATCCTTGCAATATTGTACTTGACAGTCCGAACTGGGATCTTCGTTAGACGAGCAATTTGCCTCTGTCCATAAATTGTCTGCTTCATGCTTGGAAAGGGCCAAAAGTGTGGTTGCGACGAAGGCACTCATGGACGTGAAAAGGAAAGGGTTTCAATACATCCGTTCGAATCCGTTCTACATGGTCATATGAACGCCTGAAAAAAAAGCGTGGTTGTGGGAGATGACTGCTATCATGGAAATGCTTCGTGAATGTGACTACATGTACTTTATCAGAAAACACAAGTGTTTTCCACAAACTTTTTGAGGCGACTTACATGCGATCGTCTGAGCGAGAAAACTGCAATCCGTCCTAAACCTTTCCGAAATGAGGGGGGGAGGCAGAGAGGAGATTATTAGCTTCCTTATAAAATCACCCCTCCAGGAACTTCCAACCGTACTTGTTGTATTACGACTGAAACGAGCATCTTGCCCCGTCAAACAATCAAGAAAATCCCCTTTGTTCTCCTTTCCTCTCTCAAGAAAAAATTTTCCACTCAGTCGCACGCAGCAGTCACATATTTTCCCTTTACCATTTTCTTCTCGTATCAACGAAAAATTTATCACCTTGAAAAATGCCTGCGGTCCAGAGGCCTTTTTCACGAAACTTCTTTAACTTTTCTTTAACTTTATTTCGGCTATATTTCGACTTTATTCCGACTCAAAATAAAGAGAAAATAAACACACCTTTGGAGGTCTCTCTACCTCGACTTTAACCTCTCTGAGGGCTACGAAAATACAAAGGGATACTGCCCGTTGTGGAGCACTCCATGTTCGGTAATGGTCATAGCCTTTCCTTTCCTACCATATTAGTAGATGGAGCCTGGGGCCAGGAATCGAAGTGCCACACATATAATCAGCTGGATTGGTAGTGCTCCACAACGGGCAATATCCCTTTGTATTTTCGTCTGGACTAGGGCACAGAAATCCAAGATGAGACTCCGTGAGAGTCTGAATCTGCTCCTGAGTCCTTCATCGTCGTACTCTTCCAAGGGCTATTTCGGTCACGAAGTACTCTTTCCCGATGAAGCCGCCTTCGAATTAGATGAAGCCTTGCAGCCATGGTCGTGTTCACACGGAGAGCTTTAAGTCATAAGTAGCAGAAGGATTGCTCATGCAACGCTTGGGAATGTTATTGAGAATACACACAGGTGAATTTCCGTAGCCCTCAGAGAGGTTAGAGGTCGAGATAGAGAGACCTTCAAAGGTGTCAGAGAGATTCCCCCCGTCTGGCGTCCAAAGGGATGCCGCCATAGGGGGGGGGGGGGGGGGGGGGTGGTTTCATTAACAAGGGATGGGTTAGGGGGAAGGGGTCCCCCTATCGTGTGATGTCAGGGGCTGCACCCTCCTTTCCTGTCGTCTGCTCCGCCCCGCCCCCTGAGGGAGGGGTGATTTAGGTATGCAAATGAGTGGATGTATGCTATTGATACGGTGATATGTTTGGCTCCATAGGCATCGACGACGGAGATGTGTTCCAAGCTACATTCGTTTTTTTCCTTTTTTCGTGTGCTATCACAATTAATTAATTAATTAATATGATTGAGATTGGAGTTGCGCAATAGGGTGTAATGAAACCCGTAAAGGAAACCCTTTACTGCATGATACCTCTTTTGTTCCTGTGGTTTGCTGATGAATACTCTTACATGCTATGCAAATACATGAACTCCAGAAGAAAAAGTACAAGCACGAATTAATGCCATGACTCAGAATCGAACCTGGGCTTCTGCGGTCATAACGCAGCGTATTAACCACTATACGATCACGGCTACCAAGCTCGCATATGAGACAGTCTGTGTATTTACATATGTGGCGTGGGGAAAAAAAAATTCGTCCCCCATATCAACACCGTGCGTCGTCTATTTAGGGGCCGTTCTCCAGTTTCACAGGCAGACATATTAGACGGGAATGAAAGCCCCTAGAATTTCTGCGCCCTGTCACGTCAGAGATTTCCATCATCCTAGTCCCTTTGTGGGAAATGAGAATAGAGCTCGAGATGTTTATGTCAGCGGACACTTTGTAATATGAACAAATGGTCGTTCTTGATGGTTTTTTTTGTTTATTCAGTCAGCGGACCCCTTTCTAAATCTGTTTGAAGGAATGTGAAGGGTATTTTTCCCATATGTTGGAAAAAATTACGAACATACATACCAGGTATATCAGAAATGAATGAAATGGCGCTGAATTCAGTCATCCTGGTGAATTGCAAGGAACGGCATGGAGCCGGTTTCTTAATGGACACAGTAAATGCCATGAGGCTTCAAATCCATTATTTCAGTCAGAGCAATTTTTACATACTCCCATTTTATGTGCGCCCATAAGACAATGTCGTCATTCACATCGAATGAAATAAGAAGTGGGTGCATTTCGCTAGTGGATATGGAAAACGCGTACTATGCTCCCGAGAAGCCTGGTAGCTATGGTGGGTTGGAGGCGTTTTATAGAAGTGCCAAGGAGCAAGGACTGAAAGTGACGAGAAAGGAAGTTGGTGTTTGGTTATCCTCTCAAGATACGTATTCCATTTATAAACCAGTCAGGAAAACAGTTCCGCGAAATCGTATCATCGTGTTCGATATCGACGAACAATGGCAGATCGATCTCATGGATGTTCAAAATATTTCTCGAAACAATGACGGATACAGATACATTCTCGCCTGTAATGACATTTTTTCAAAGTATGCTTGGATGATCCCCGTCAAAAACAAGATGGGGATTGAGGTTGCAAAGGCTTTCAAGAAGATTCTGAAAGAAGGCAGGAAGCCACGTAAAATCCAAAGCGACGCAGGGAAGGAATTTTTGAACCGAACATTTCAAGGCCTTCTCAAAAAGAAAGGAATAGGCTTTTTTGTTTCAAATTCGGAAAAGAAGGCTAGCATAGTCGAACGTGTTACACGGACAGTCAAACCTAAAATGTGGAAATACTTTAGAGCCAGAAACACTTTTAAATATAGGGATGCATTGGAAAAGTTTGCAAAATCGTACAATAACACGGTCCATTCAGCCTTAAGGATGAAACCTGTTGAAGTCAAACAAGAAATTCTCAAGTCCGTATTGCATAATTTATATGGTACGATGTGGCAAAAAAATATTCCATTGAAATTTAAATTTGAAGTCTGTGATTTGGCGCGTATTCCTGTTTCCCGCGCACCATTTCGGAAAGGGTACGTAGGGAATTGGACCGAGGAAATTTTCAGGATTACAGATTACAGTCCTAGAACTCCTCCAACGTACAAGATAGGAGATTTGAATGGGGATTCAATTGAAGGAATCTTTTATGAGCCGGAGCTTCAGAAAGTGGAACCGGATCTTGCAGGCTACTTCAAGGATGAAACTGTCATCTGACAAAGGAAAAGAAAGGGAAAGAATGAGTATTTTGTGAAATGACTTGGTTATCCGGAGTCCTTCAATTCCTGGGTTTCAGAATACGAAATGAAAAAAATTCAATAAAATGTTGCCCGATTTTTTCCGCCAGTCACCAAGATGAGCTTTCACGTGATGCTTCCTAGTGGCAGTTCCTCATATTTTTTCCTCGAGAATACAGTTACCAGATTCAAGACATATTTCGTCTTTCAAGGGTTGAGAGCTGGGGTAAAGTAGATTCCTGCAAAACAAAAACACGCCTTCAAGTATATGTAAATGCATAGTACTCTTGAGTCTGTCCAAAGTTCCTTCTACCATTCAT